AACCACATGATCATATCAATTGATGCAGAAAAGGCATTTGATAAAATCCAACACCCATTTCTGATCAAAACTCTCAGCAAAATAGGAGTAGAAGGGACCTTCCTCAACATAAAAATGTAACATGAGAATGATTGTGTATGAGATGTTAGGCTCTCTGCAGTCAAAGATTTGTGATTCACAGTTTCAAATAATGGGTTCTGCTATAACAATTCAAATTCTTTTCTGGGTGTGAAAACTTAAAACTTCCTTAAAATTTCCTTAAAAACTTCTTAAAAACTGAGGTGCTCGCATATCTGAATTGGGTGACTTCAGACCTAAATTAAAACTCCATTTTGAATTAAACTAAGATTTTCATTTCTACTTTTTTTTTTGAGGTGTGGGTGTCAAAGTTTTACTGACTGAAAGAAGGTAAGAGTTCACCCCTTAAGAATATTTTTGTAGCTGGCCGCAGCAGGGAAGATGCCTTGGCTAGCAGGAGGTTAGCTAGTAGAACTGATAATGTTAAATGACTGGTATATGCCAAGTCTTACTTCTACATCCTGACTTTCAAATTAACTTGTTGAGAGTTTTTCCACTGCATTTCTGCTAATTTTCTGTAAATTTGTAACTAGATAGAAACTGAGTTTGTTAAATGAGGAGACAGATCAAAGTCTTGCCTGTTTGTAACCCAAAGAATACAGAGAGTTGAGCTTTAACTTTGGAAAATAAACTTGCTATCTTAACAGTACTCACCTAGTGAAATGCCTGGGCCCTAACTCATACCCTCTTAGCCAGATGGGCAATACTTACATTTCAGTCTTGAGATTAGAGTTGATTTGATCTTCACTCCTTTATAACCACATGGTTGGTTGCATTTCAAGGATTTCAACTAAAATTGACCTGACCTACAATCACTCACTAAATCCCCATTTCAAAAATGTTTACCCACTTTGCTTTAGAAATATTGTCTTAGTGAATTTGTATCAGGAGATAAGAAATTAATGTTAGGCTAGGAATTGATGTCAGGAAACACTGTAGTATGATAACCCTTTCTTTGTAAATTTTCCTTCCTTTTTCTGCACTTGTCTTTGTTTACTTTGCCTGATAAATACCTCATTGCTTTCCCTGAAAGCCAGAACACATGTTGCAGTCTCTTGTGGAATGTTGTGTGATTCTTCATTTTGCAAAATATAATTACGCCTTCAATAAAATTTTTGTTTTAACTTCCAGCTGAGTATCAGTCTGCTGTTTTCACTAGGACAGTTCCTGGTAAGTACTCAAGAGTTATTAACTCTAATCATTGCTGCAGAGCAAAGGATATCATCAATGCAATGATTCCGTAAATTTACATTTTCCAGCTGGGGCAGAGGGTAGGGAAGGCTACTCAAACCTCTCAAAAGCTCCATATTTTACTCAGAGTAAAAGTCAAAGTGCTTACATGGAACTACAAGTCCTTCGCATTTTACTCTCTGAACCCATCTCCTACCCCTCAAACATGCCACACATATTCCTACCTCACGGACTTTGCAGTTGCTGTTCCCTCTGTCTGTAATGCTCTTTCCCCAGAAATCTTCACTGATTACTCCTTTACTTCTGGTCTTTGTTCAGATGTGACTTGCCAAGTGAGAGCTTCTCCTACCATCTTATATAAATCTGCACACTCCCCATATACCTCTGACACTACCTGTAGCACTTCCTTGCTTTACTTTCCTCCATAATATTTACTCTCATGTTACACACAATTATCCTTTGTTCACCCACTAGAAAGTAGAGTGAGTCTAGGGATTTTGTTCATTGTTTGATCCTTTGTATTGTTGGAACAGTACTTGATACATAGCAGGTACTCAAAATACTTTTTAGATGAATGAATGAATAAATGAAGGAAGGCAGGCTTGGGTAGAATAGAGATGGTAGGACCAACACAGTGAAAATCCTGAAGTTCAAAAGTATTTCTCACATACCCATTCCAATAAGTCAAGGACTAATTTGGTATACTATTTGTTCTTCTAAGATCAAGGAGAACATAGAAACCCAACATTTTGTAACTTGGTGTTGCTGATGTAAATCCAGTTAATATTCTATTGGTTTAGTACTCAGGGAATGGAACATTTGGTGACAGTGATATGTAGTTGTGTGCTGTTGATTCCAACTCATAGCAATCCTACATGACAGAGTAGAACTGCCCCATGGGCTGTAATGTTTATGGTAGCAGATATCCAGTTCTCATCTGCCACGGAGTGGCTGGTAGGTTTGTCACCAACCTTTCAGTTAGCAGCTGAGGCTTCATTGTACCACCAAGGCTCCTTGATATGCAGGTAGGAGAACAGAAAGAAGCGTGGAAACAAAGTCATGCCTCCTAATTTTACCCTTAGTTGTAGACAGAAAATCATGGCCATCCTTGGCAGTGCTTGAGCAAGGATAACTGAGTACTTGCCCCATGCTGACCCCTGGACTTGTAACCATCATGCTGTAACAAGAATGATCAACTCTTAAGCAAGTATATATGCTATGTTGTATGTAAATTTAATTTCTTCAAATTCTGCCATTTTTCTCCAGAGTTCCAAAGCTCACTCATTAGAAAACATGTCATGGTACCTCAATCTCTTCTAATTTCAAATGTTGTCATAAATACTGAGCCAAATTAGAGTCTAAACTTTCTCTGAGGGCTCCTCCTCATTCTTTGGTTTCTCATCTCCACATTGCTCAGGGAAGCTTGTGCATCCTTGTGAATGGGGAGGTAGAAGAGAGAGAAGACTAGTCAGTGCACTCTCTTCTGGATCCTTCTTGGCTTCATGGAGATGCTGTTCATCTGGGTGATCACTGGGCATTTCTGCCCTGTTGTCCACAGAGGTATGGCTTCTCTGGGCTCTTCTTTTAGGGCCTTTGACAAGGCATTCGTGAAAATCCTGGATTTAGAAGATGCAGAAATCCTGTCCTGACCTCAGACTTCTTCTGACTCACCACTTTGCTCAGCACCTCTGCATGTGGATTACTCATATGCCATATGTGGGTTATGGGCAACTGGGGGCCCTAACTTGGTCATCAGTCTAGATACCCTCTTCTGCACAGTGTGTTCTGCTCCGACCCTGGTATGTCACACTGAACACCAGGCTCCTCTGAGAGGTTGTAGACTCCTGACGCTTCTCTCTGGGAAGTGAGACCCCAACTTCAGTGTTCTCAGACTCCCTGGAACTTAGTTGGGTATTTCCATATATCTTTCTGTTTCATGGTTATATGAAGCTTAGAAACTAGCTTTTAGTTATTTCAAACATCTCCCTGCCACTCATCTAATAGTCGTTGGTCCACAAATATTTACAGCTTAAGAATAATTTTCTTTAGAAGAAGTATCCTTTTAACAATTCTTATATAGTGTTCAACTGTGGCATACAAGTGTAGTATATTGGTTTAAGCCTGGGCTCTGGAGCCAGTCCGCTGAATACTGGCTCTGTCACTTGCTAGTTGTATGATATGGGGGTGTTGTTAACCTCTCTATGCTTCAGTCTCCTCATTTTTAAAATTGGGATAATGGTAGTGCTTACTTGATAAGGTTGTGAGGCTTAAATGAGTTGATAAATGTTTAAGTGCGTAGAACAATGTTTGGCACAAAGAAGATATGCAGTAAATGTTAACTGTTATTGTTGCTAGCTGTCATGTCAGTCCCTGACTCACGATGTCCTGTTACACAACAGAAAGAAAAGCTGTGTGGTCCTCTACCATCCCGTGACCAGCTGGGCATTGGGCTGTTGTGATCCATTGGGTTTTCACTAGCTAATTCTTGGAAGCAGATCATTGGAACTTTCTTTCTGGTCTAGCTCCACTCATCCTAACTACTCAGTCTTCCCCTCATGGGTGGTAGCTGCACATGAGATGCATTGGCCAGGAATTGAAACCAGGGCTCCTGCATGGCAAGTGAGAATTTTACTAGTGAACCTCCACTGCCTCGTTAACTATTACTGTAATAATAATAATTGTGGGAATAACCGTGCACTGGAAATACACCTTTTGGGTCAGTGAACGTAGGCAATGTACTCGGGCCTGTAGTAAATGGCAGAAACATCACTAGACTTTGGCAAGATTTTACCTGTTTCACTGCCACCACTTTCCTTACCCCCTTCAGAGGAATTTAGGATCTTGGACGCTGAAAGGAGAACGGAGTCGACTTCATTGTCTTCCTCAAGGTGCTCTTCTGTAACAGAACCGTTCAACCGCTTTTGATTTTGTTGGGAGTAGGAGCGGGGAGCCTGGGGAGGTGGGCGAGGAGATTCCGGACGCGGACGCCCTGAGCAGCCACAAGAGGGCGCGCTGGGGCCACGCAGAGGCAGCGGCGGGGTAGAGGTGCTGGGGCTTGAAGCTGTAGTAGGGCGCGGGTGGAAAGGGGTGGGAAGGAAGGCTGAGGAAAGGATGTGTGGCTAGCCAAGATCTGCACTTCAGACGGAGCCTGGGAAATCCTGGAGACTTAGGGGTCTAGGGTCCCGGGCGCTGCCGCTCCTCACTACCCACCTCTCCACTCCCACGGCTCCCCCTCAAGGCACGGGCCCTGGTCCAGCTCTTACCAGGGCTCATTTCTGGTGCTTAAGATGTCGCTCCCCAACTGCCTTCCCCCAGGCATTCCGCTCAATCGCCTCACGTCCGGGCATCCCGTTGCTTGGTAACAGGGTCGCCCGGGAGTAGGGCCCCCTACCCACCACCCTTTGCACGTGAGGATTCGGAGCAGGGTGGGGGCAGAGAGCAGGAACAAGGTGCACCTGGGGATCTGGGTCTCGGGTGCGAGCTCTGGGCTGGATCAGCTCCGGGGGACGCTTTCCTTGAGAGATAGCCACGCCTGGGACAGTTGCGTGAAGGAAAAGGCCTATTTGCTGTGACCTTCCAAACCCAGGGAGAATTCCACGTCACCATTCCCCCCACCCTCCAGCATCTTTCCGGCTGACCAGAGCTTGATCTTGATCAAGCCCGTTGGACCAAGCTGTTTAGAAAAAAGAGAATGTTTGGAGACAGGCAAACAACCAGAAACACCTTCCCTTTTCTTTACTCACCATTTCCATTTTTGTTGTTGTTTGCTTGCTTGTTGCGCTTTGTTAGTCCTCATATTCCATCTTGTGTATCAGAGTAGTTTGTGTTTGGGGATTTAAATGGCCCGAGACCAGTATTGTCACCAATATGCTTTTAAAAAGGATTTGTGTTTCTTGTGGTTACCATAAGACTCCTTTGTCCAACAATTGAATTTAAATAACAACACATTAATATATAAACAGAAAGCTATGGTAGAGGCAATAGCCTTCATTTGTCAAACCATGCTGATTACCTATTCACCTGGTTGAACCCCTCCCCAAAATTGATGCTGCTGGAAGCTGGATCAAATAAGGACTGGCTGGCATGGCTCAGTCATCAAGTCCTTGTGCCACTCAGAAAATGCACTGCTTGAGTAAAGTTGTAAATTACTATGTGTATTCCTTATTTCTCCATAATAAAATTACATCTAGAACATAAAGTAATTGAAAATTCAAATTTTAAATGAAAAATTAGGAATTTAAAATCAAAATCAGTATGATATAAAAGTAAATGTGAATAATAGTAGTATTAACTGGTCTTCCTTGTAGGTGTATGGATATTATGCTGTCATTGACAGCCTTGTACTTCAGGGTGGATCTTGAAATGTTCTTTTTGAAGATGAATGTGAAGCCATTCCTCTTCAGTTTCTCATTCCCAGCATGGTAGATCGTATGATTGTCTGATTCAAGATGGCCATTTCATTTTTTACAACTTCCAGTTTTCCTAGATTTGTCCTGTGTACATTCCATGTTCTGATTATTAATGACTATTTGCACCTGTTTGGTCCCATTTTGAGTCATGCCCCATCAGCAAATGAGTGTCCCAAAAGCTTTATCTATCCACATCATTAAGGTGTACTCGGCTTTAGGGAGGCAGCATTTCCCTACTTGTATTTTGAGTGCTTTTCAATCTGAGACGCTCATTTTCCAGCACTAATACAAAGTTTCAGGGCCATTATAACGTTTTCTAGTAATATATCAGACAGTGCTTCACTGGTATTCATTCATAAGGTTTTCATTGGTGAATTTTTTCAGAAGTGGATGACCCACCCTCCTTCTCAGTCTGTCTTAGTCTGGAAGCTCCACTGAAACCTGTCCATCACCGGTGACCCTGCTGGCATTTGAAATACTGGTAGCATAGCTTCCAGCCTCACAGTAACAGGCAAGTCACTACAGTATGACAAAATGAAAGATGAGTGGTAGCTACTGCTATTATTCAAATTTATGCACCAACCATTAAAGCCAAAGGTGAAGAAATTGAACATTTTTACCAACTTCTGCAGTCTGAAATTGATTAACATGCGATTAGGATGTATTGATTATTACTGGTGATTGGAATGCAAAAGTTGGAAGCAAAGAGGAAGTATCAGTTATTGAAAAATATGGTATTGTTGTTAGAAATGATACCACAGATTGCATGATAGAATTTTACAAGACCAACAACTTATTCATTGCAAATACCTTTTTCAACAACATAAATGGTGACTACACATGTGGACCTCACTGAATGGAATACAAAGAAATCAAATTGACTCCATCTGTGGAAGGAGGCTATGGAGAAGCTCAATATCATCAGTCAAAACAAGGCCAGAAGTTGAATGTAGAACAGATCATCAATTGCTCATGTGCAAGTTCAAGTTCAAGCTGAAGAAAATTAAAACAGAGCCAAAATGACTTTGATTACAACCCACCTGAATTTAGAGACATCCGGTGGTGTAGTGCCTAAGGCATTTGACTGCTAACCAGAAGGCTGGTGGTTCAAACCCACCAGCCACTCCTCAGAAGGAAGGTTGGGCAGTCTATTTCTGTAGTGATACAGTCCTGGAAACCCAAGGAGGGGTCGTTGTGAGTCGGATCCCACTTGGTTTGGTTTTGGTTTAGAAGAATAGATTTGATTCATTGAACACCAGTGATAGAAGACTAGATGAGTTGTAGGATGACATCAAGAACATCATATATAAAGAAAGCAAAAGATCATTAAAAAGACAGGAATGGAAGAAAAGACCAAGGTAGATGTCACAAGGGACTTTGAAACTTACTCTTGGATGTAGAGTAGCTAAAGTGAATGGAAGAAATGATGGGAGGAAAAATAAAAGCGCTAAACAGCAGATTTAAAAGGGAGGCCTGAGAAGACATAATAAAGTATTATAATGAAAAGTAAAAACCTAGAATCAGAAAATCAGGAGGGAAGAACATGTTTGGCAATTCTCAAGCTAAAAGAATTGAAGGGAAAATTGAAGCCTCAAATTGCTTTACTGAAGGATTCTATGGGCAAACTATTTAATGAAGCAGGAGATAACAAAAGAAGATGGAAATAATGCAGTCCCTGTACAAAAAAGAATTGGTTGACATTCAACCATTTTAGGAGGTAACATACAAAGAAGAACCAAAGATATTGAAGGAAGAAGTCCAAGCTCCGCTGAAAGCATTGGCAAAAAACAAGGCTCCAGGAATTGATGGAATACCCATTGAGATGTTTGAACAAATGGATGCAGCACTGGAGCAGCTTATATGCCAAGAAATTTGGAAGAAAGCAATTTGGCCTGCTAACTGGAAGAGATCCATATCTGTGCCCATTCCAAAGAAAGGTGGTCCAACAGAATGTGGAAATTATCAGACAATATCATTGATACCACACATAAGTAAAATATTGCTGAAGATAATTAAAAAATGATTGCAGTAGTATATTGACAGGGAACTTTCAGAAATTCAAGCTGGATTCTAAAGAGGATGTGGAACAAGGGGTATCATTGCTGATGTCACATGGATCTTGGCTGAAAACAAAGAATATCAGAAAGTATCTACTTGTGTTCTATTGACAATGCAAAGACATTCGACTGTGTGGATCATAGCAAATTATGGATAACATTGAGAAGAACAGGAGTTCCAGAGCACTTAATTGTCCTCATGAGGAATCATGACCAAGAGCCTGTCATTCAAACAGAATGAGGGAATACTGCATGGTTTAAATTCAGGACGGATGTACATCAGAGTTGTATTCTTTCACCATACTTATTCAATCTGTATGCTGAGCAAATAATCTGAGAAGCTGGACTATATGAATAAGAGTGTGGCATGAGGAATGGAAGAAGACTCATTAACAACCTGCGATATGCAGATGACACAGCCTTCCTTGCTGAAAATAAAGAGAGCTTGAAGACTTACTGATGAAGACCAAAGACTATACAGTCTTCAGTATGGAGTATACCTTAACATAAAATGAAAATCCTCACAATTGGATCAATAATAAGTAGAGAAAATATTGAAATTTTCAGGGATTTAATTTTACTTGGATCCACAGTCAACACACATGCAGTGAAGAAATCAGATATCGTATTGCATTGGGCAAATCTGCTGCAAAAGATCTTTTTCTTTCCTTTTTTTTTTTCCTTCTGATCCATGGATATGACATATCTCACTATTTATTTAGGTTTTTTGTTTTTCCTTCCGGAATTTTTAAAAAAATTTTTTTACTGTGATTCGGGTGAAAGTGTGCAGAGAAAATTCATTTTTCATGCAGCAGTTCATACACATTTTGTTTCATAACATTGACTGTAATTCCCCACAGTGTGACAGCTCTCTTCCCACTTCCTCCCCTTAGATACCTCTTCCCTGTCTCCTTACCTCCCATGCACTCCCACCCCCAGAGCTGTCTCCCTGGGAAAACACTGCCCTTCTGTTCTCCCATGATTGATCACTCCAAGTAGTGTATCTACCTGATGTAAATGTACAGCCTATATATCTGTCTATTGTTTGTCTGGTAGCCACAGGAGTGAGTTCAGTTCCAGACCTGAAGGGTAGCTAGGGGCCATAGTCTCAGGGGTCTCACCAGGCTCTATCAGACCAGCAAACCTGGCCTTTTTTTTTATGTTTCTGAGTTTTGTTTCACATTGTTCTCCCATCCTATCCAGGATCTCCTGCACTGATCCACTTCCGAGTGGTTGACGGGGTTAGTCAGGCACCACCTAGTTCTTCTGGTCTCATGGTCATATACACTGAGTATAGTATGGCCTACCAGTCCCTTGGATTAATTCTTTTTAAAGTGTTAAGGAACAAAGATGTCACTTTGAAGACTAAGGTGCACCTGACCCAAGCCATGATATTTTCAATAGCCTCATATGCATGTGAAAGCTGAACAATGGATAAGGAAGACCAAAGGAGAGTTTATGCCTTTGAATTGTGGTGTTGGTGAAGAATACTGAAAGTACTATGGACTATCAGAAGAACGAACAAGTCTGTCCTGGGAGAAGTGCGGTCGGAATGCTCCTTGGAAGCGGGAATGGCCAAATTTCATCTCATCTACTTTGGTCATGTTGTCAGAAGGGACCATTTCTCTGGAGAAGGACATCATGCTTGGTAAAGTGAAGGGTCAGAGAAAAAAGGGAAGAACCTCTATGAGATGGAGTGACACAGTGGCTGCAATGAAGGGCTAAAGCAAAGACTGTGAGGATGGCGTATGACCAGGCAGTGTTTTGTTTTGTTGTACATAGGGTCTCTATGAGTCAGATCCTACTCAACAGCATCTAACAACATCAGCAGCATCAATATGGACCCAGAGATTCCTATTTTAGTCAGTGCTTTTTTGATATGGGCCCTTCATTCCTGGAACACTTCTTCATTTTCTTGATCATATACTTTCCCTGCTATAGCTCTGAAGTTGGGCATTTCTCCAAAAAGAATTGATTTCCTTTAAAGGAGAATAATACATAGAAGCCAAATTTTAAGTGCTAGATATGCATGTTGCTATTGGATTGTAACTACTCCTAGACCATCTTAGTGGATAGAACTAAGAAATGTCCTTCTGGATATATACACATATGTGCATAGGTACATATGTACATTTACTTAATATTTATTTCTAAATCCAAATATATATGTTGAGAGCCATGAGTTCATGATACCTCTAATTTAAATCCAACATCATAGTGCTCATTCTAGTTTTCTCCCTTTCCATATTTATAATTTCCTTTACAAAAAGTGAGAAACTTGACTTCCATGATCGTTTTTATACTTAATGATTTGATCAACCTTCTTATAAATATCCAATCTCTCAGTGCCCATTTATCACCCTATCCCCCACGTGGATGCCCTTATTATCCCAAGTAGAGTCCAATACCCAGTATGGATCCCTCCTCCCTGCCTTGTTGGGCTCTGATACTGCCCATTGGGCCCTGACACTCCTCATCCCACTTGGGCTCTATTACTCTATGCTAGCTGCCTCTTTGTATAGATGACTTCCATGCCTCCTTGGATTCTGATACCTTCATTGCTAGGTCTGCTTTTCCTAATCATGAAAGTATTCTTTTAGGATTTTTCTCTTCCCTAAAAGTTTCATTGTTTTATTTTGCATATTTAGATTTGTGATTTATCTATTTATATTTATTTTATATACAGTGTGAGGTTTAGGAATCAATATCCATTTTTTAAAAGTATGGCTATCTGACTGGTCCACCATTTATTGAATATAATATACTTTCCCACACAACTATATATTTTTAATGTATTTTAAATATGTATTTTTCATGTGTGCTCTCTTTCTACCATCTTGAGCCTAAAGTTACTCATTGCCTAGTTGCTAAAATCAAATAAAATGATTTTTTGCTTATCCAGAATACAAATTAAAATTAGCCAAGGTAAAAAGGAGCAATGTATTGGAATTTCTTTTAGATTTAAAAATATAAGTGTCTTAGTTAACTAGTGCTGCTGTAATGGAAATATCACAAGAAGATGGCTTTAATGAGAAGAAATTTATTTTCTCAAGAGGCTAAAAGTACAAATTCAGGATGTGGCTCAAGAAAGTCCCTGCTTGTCTATTTCAGCTTTTAGTAGCTACCACCAATCCTTGGCATTCCTAAGCTTGTAGATTCATGTATCTCTGTCAGCTGTCTTCCTCTTCCCCCTGTGTATCTCTGTGTCTATTGTGCTTTTTTTTTTTTTTTTTTTTTAATATAACTCAGAAGTAACTAGGTTTAAGGCCCACCTTACACTGGAATACTTTATTAACATAACAAAAGAAAACGTCCTATTTCTGAACAGGGTCATGCTTACAGGGATAGAGCCACATATTTTGGGGGAGAGGGCATAAGTTAATAAATAACATGGTTGTTGTTGTTATGTGCTGTGGAGTCACACCCGACTCATAGCGACCCCTCCTTGGGTTTCTGAGGTGGTATCACTGTGGAAGTAGATTGCCCAACCTTTCTTCCGAAACTGGATTTGAATTGCCAGCCTTCCGGTTAGCAGTCAAATGCCTTAAGCACTATGCTACCAGAGGAGAAACCCCATTTTTCTGAGTGAAACAAGGAGAAGCCTGGTCCTATGAGATTCTCCTAGACTCATTGGCTGCTGTTGATTACTCACTATCTTCTACAACACTTAGGTGTTTAATACATAGTCAATGAAAGGTGAATGATGTACAGAAAAGTCTGGCAAAAGTATAGTATACTTGCTCAGGCCTATCTCTCACTTTTCCTGTACTTTTGACACTGAATAATTCATTTTCCTGTTTGAAATACGTGAACAAAGGTTAGAATTACAACATTTACTCTGGAGGCTATCAAATTTTCTCTCTCCTTCACATAACTATTTCTCCAGTAATTAAGCTTTTGGTGAAATAATATTGCTTGTTCTTCATGGTGTTAAGAATTGAGGACTTTGTGGAAAAAATTTATTTTCCAGATTTACACAGAGGAATAATAAAACATGAGAAGGTTAGAGAATTTTTTTAAAATCTCCTATAACTTGTTATTATAACTTTTGTATATTGTATATTATAACTTTTGTTAGACTTCCCAATTATGAAACCTTGGTTTTGCCCAAATAGCTTATTTTAAATATATATATATATATTAAGTAACAGATAGAATAAGTTCTATAAGGTAGGCCAGTATTTTATCCAAAGTTAAAATGATAGAAAACAGACCCATTGCCATGGAGTTGATTCCAATTCATGCCAACTTTGTAGGACAGAGTAGAATTATCCCATAGGATTTCCAAGGGTATGATCTTTATAGAAGCAGGTTGTCACATCTTTCTCCTGTGGAGTGGCTGGTGAGTTCAAACCACTGACATTTTGGTTAGCAGCCGAGTGCTTAATCACTGCCCTACCAGAGCTCCTATAAAATTATATATAAATGTAACTAATGCTAGGGCTTGATGTTTATTTCCTGATATGGTACCACACATAATCTGTATTGCCTTCTCAATTTGATGAGACTATATTTTTACTTCACTTGGCCTCACATCAACTAGACAGGGAATATGATTTCTCTGGTCATATGTCAGTCAGTCTATCAACTGCCCTCAAAAAAAGTCTTTGATTTTTTTAATTATAAAGTTCATTGCTAAAGGATAGAAATAAAATCTGTACTGATAATTTTTTTTTTTTTTAACTTATGAGACATGATATTTCAAAATCCTCAAATAGTAACTTGTTTTAAAGAACTCACTTTCATCTGTTGACTAACAGCTGCAGATTTAAGAATCTGGAACAAATTCAAGAGCATTTCACAAAAACAAGCTAGTGAAATCTATTCTTAGCAGCTTACTACCAGACTAAAATGCTTTTGGGTTTTTTTAGCTTCATGAGATCTTTTTTTAAACTCGAGATCCCAAGGCTATCATTAATCATAGCTGACACCTAAAGCTAAGAAAAACAGCCAAATCACCCCAAAGATAAAACAAATTTGGGCAATTGTCCTCCCACTAGTGATTTGGTCAGAAAGGGACCACCATGTGACTTAGGGAGCCCTGGGTGGATAGTGGGTCTTCGGGGCAAAGATTTGATCTAAATGCAAACACCTCTATACTCAGTCTTCTCCAGTTTGCTTTCTGTGTTAATTTTAACCTGACTTCATCTATATAAGAGAATGAATTCACAACTCACTAAGAATAACCAGCAGCTTTGGCTTTTAGAAAGTTGATTGCCACTTTTAATAGGGCTTATTTGTGTCATGAAATAAAATGTGTATGAACTGTTGTGTGGAAAATGAATTTGTTCTGTAAACTTTCACCCAAATCACAATAAAAATTACAAACAAACAAAAAAAAAGAGGGCTTATTTGATGACATAGTGGGGATACTGAGAAAGTCTGTATACTATAAAATCTGGTGTGCTAAAGACGTAGACAGAGAGAAATATCAAGGTAGCTTGAAAAGTAACAATGAGCCGTGACGGTGTAGTGGTTAAAGCACATGGTTGCTAACAGAAAGGTTGGTGGTTTGAACCTACCAGCTGCTCTGGAGAGAAAGATGTGACAGTCTGCTTCTTCATTCAAACATACAGTTATGAAATAAAACACGAACAGTTGAAAGGAAAACGAATTTGATCTGTAAACTTTCACTCAAATCAGAATACAAAGATAAATAAAGTAATAATGATGAAAAAAAAAACAACTTAAGAGTGTTTTGTTTTAATAAGCAATTCCTAGGAAAGGAGGTACTGGTACCAGAAGAGTTATCATGAATTTCTTAGACTTTTGGTTTGAGCTATTTTATATCAATCAGTGGTGTTTTCATGACCTCTCCTGAAGGATATGCGACTGTGATTGAAAGCCTCTCTAATTAGTCCTTGAAATCAATCACTGGAAGCCTCTGTACCCAATTATCCAATAGAAGCCCATTCCCCACACCCTAACTCACCCTCTTTGTGAACTCAATCAAAGACTAACCATTCAAGTGATTGTATTATAATTTCTCTGTTCCTTGGACTCTGTTTTTGTTAGAAGCTTTTTCTTTGGAACCACCGCTTCTCATTCACATGCACTGGTACCTCCCTGCATTTGAATATACCTTTTTCTTTTTTTCCTGAATACATCCTCCTAATTTCAAAAAAAAAAAAAAAAAAGATTTGCAGCCTTGGAAATGCTGGGCAGTTCTCTGTCCTGCAGGGTCACTATGAGTTGGAGTTGACTGAATGGTGATGAGTTGGTTTGGGGTTTGAGAGTGTTAGGGAAAAATATTTCTTTTTGATGGAATGGAATACTTGAGCATGTTTATAGGCTGAGAAAAGAGTCATGGCAAAAAAGAAACAGTGGAAAAATAAGTTGGAAAGATTACTTCTGAAGAATAAAGTAACGGCATGATTGGAACCTAAAGGAAGACAGAAGGAGTAGCAGTTTCTTTGAATATGTGAAAGGCTGGTCATTTTGAAAAGAAGATATAGAGCTATTCTCCTTCAGACAGAGGCCAGAGTATAGGGTACTCACTTTCTCACAAGGTACTTAGGTCAGATAAGCCCTCTGTTTGTGAAGTTTACTGAAGGTGAGAAGGTGTTTATCATTATGAGTGAATTTAGATGCAGTAGTCTCTGCAGTTTCTTCTAGGCTGAGGCATCTTTAATTTAACTGCCAGTACATGATCTACCTTCTTCTTGATGCTATGCTGCTTTCTGGATTTTAGACACTTAAGGAGGAGTGCCAACGCAGGCTATTTTGTTACTTATTAATAATAATAGTATGTTTTTGTTGCTATATAATGGTGTCATTAATATTTCCAATGGAGCTAATGAATTTGCAATTATAAATCCAGACTCCTTGCTTGATGTCGATTATGAGCTATGACATGAATTAGAGGTGGTATCTCTGATCATGGAACAGAATGAAACTACTGGATTGAACCAAGAACTTGGCCACATTGATGGTAAATGGAATGGCCAATAAATCCTCATTAAATGGAATAGCAGTCCAATTAAAACTGATGAAGATAATGCCAAGTGTAGATCATTAAATATTGGAGCGAGCAGAGGTCTCAGATGTCATCCAGTCCAACTTCATTTTGCAGGAAGTTGAAGCCCAGTGGCATGGCTGCAATTAGAATCCAGATTCTTAACCAACTCTTATCAGGACAATCTTCTTAATGATAAAATCATTACTTAATATTCCTATTATTCTACATTACTTTTTCTAGCACTTGTGGAAGATGATTTTATTATAAAGGGAAAAAACATGAACTAATAAGTTAACACTGAAATAAATGAAACAATAAAGCAGAGGGGAGGAATTATGCTAATATTTATGATTCGTAAGTTTAAAGATTTCCAAACCATCTTACTCACTACTGGGGAATATTAATGAGTGGGAATGCCATTTTTTCTCTAGTTGTTTGGCTGTTTACGAATGTTATATTTTTGAAAAATTTCCTCATCTATTAAATATTTATTTGGTGAAGTTTTTGGAAGGATTGGAAATAATGTCAGAAAATAACAATATTATATTACGTCAGGAATTTTGTAGGCACTCAATTAAAAATATACACTCATTTAAAGTAAATAGTCAATGTCTTTATATGTGAGAATGGCCAAACTTTGTCTCACTTACTTTGGTCATGTTGTTAGAAGGGACCATTCCCTGGAGAAGGATATCATGCTTAGTAAAGTGATGAGTCAGTGAAAAAGGAGAAGGCAACAGATAGATTGACATAGTGGCTGCAACAATGGGCTCAGGTATAGCAAGGATTGTGAGGCCGGCACAGGACCCGGCAGTGTTTTGTTCTATTGTACATAGGGTTGCTACCTACAAGTAGGAGCTGACTCGAGGGCAGCTAACAACAACAGTCTTTGTAGCCATAAGGATACAAGTGGCAGGAGCTTTTGTTGTTGTTGCTCTTGTTAGTCTTTGCCTTTGTTTGAGTAACCTGAATTCTAACTCAAAGTCAGTTTTAATTTTTTTAATTCTCTAAATCCTTGAAGTATATTAGAACTGCCTTGAAATAACCCTTGGGTGTTATGAATAGAATATTGCCAGAGAAGTTTCAAGGAGTCAGAATGCATGTGAGCTCAGACTTTTCAAAGTGCCCTCTTCAAATGAAGAAAAGTTCAAGAGAACTTCATGCACCGGATCAGTTTCAGAGTGAAGTGTTAACTTTCTTGGAATTGTTGTTGTTGTTAGGTGCCCTTGAGTGGATTCCAACTCATAGCAATCCTGTGTACAAGAGAACAAAACACTGCCCTGTCCTGCCTGTCCTAGAGGATCATTAGAAACAGCAATCTCTGTCTCCTCTTTCCAGCCTGATAAAGTTGTGCTCGTTTGCTTGACTTTTGAATTTCAACACCAAAGAGTAATGAGCGGGAATAGAAACACTATTTTGCACCTGGATTGAATATTGAAAAGTATATATTATAATAGTTTGGTCGGGGTGGATGAATATGCTAGGCAATGTGCTAGATAATTTTATATGAATTACCATAATCTTATAAAGAATCCTGTAAAGTAGGGATTATTATCTCAATTTTATGGTTGATGAAACAGATCCAGAGAGATTTTCTGACTTCCCCATGTCTTACAGTGAGGAGATGGCAGAGCTGAGATCCAGCTCCACTTAAGTATAAAATTCATTTTCATAACAACAAAACTCTTACTATCTGGGGTTAAACCAAACCCACGGCCATTGAGTAGATTCCAACTCACAGTGACCCCCTTGGGTTTCCAAGGCTGTAAATCTTCACAGAAGTAGATTGCCTCATCTTTCTCCCAGAAAGCAGCTGTGGATTTGAATGGCTAACCTTCTGGTTAGCAACCAAATGCCTTACCCATTAAGCCACAAGAGCTCCTTTATATTGAAGTGCAATCTAGATACCTTAGTTATCTAGTAATGCTATAACAGAGAGCTTTAACAAATAGAAATTTATTTTCTCATAGTTTAATAGGCTAGAAATCCTAATTGAGGGCACCAGATCTAGGGCAAGACTTTCCCTGTCAGCTCTGGGGGAAGGTCTTTCTCTCTTCAGCTTGTTTCCTGATTCCTTGAAGATCTCCATGTGGATTGGCATAAATCTTCCCCCATATCTGCTCACTAGCTTCTGTTTTATCTCTTTTGTATCTCAAAAGAGGTTGACTCAAAATACACCCTACACTAATTCTTCCTCATACATACAATCCAATCCCAAATGGGATTATAACCATAGGCATAGAGGTTAGGATTTACAGCAAATATTATTTGGATATAATTAAATCTGTAACACTAGGAAATTATTTTTAAAAGTTTACTGAGGTCATTGTTGCTCTGTGAAAGCCTATAATTACGCTGCACAAGTGATTAAATCTCTTGTGCAGAAATGATGTGTGATGGCGTAGTGAAGTGGTCAAGAGTATGAACTCTCAAACAGACTACCAGGGTTCAGATTCTGGCTCTACCATGTATTAGAGGAGACCTTGGGCAACCTCTTTATGTTTCAGTTTCTTCATCTATAAAATGGGACTAAAAAGGGTGTTTACTTCACAATGTCACTGTTAAAATTGAATGAATTAATACATGTAAATAATTTAGAACATCGCTTGGCACAAAATAAAAGTTATATATATAGTTGTTTGCTGTTGTTACTATTTAAGCCATGATCAAGCTTTTTTCAGAAAATTTAAGGAACATCTAATAAGGAGCAACATTATTAACCATGTTGTTTCTTTTGAGTTCAGTTTGATTTTTTTTATAAGAAAATGATATAATCTATAATTAAAATGGACATGACACTCAATCAATGACTTCAAAAGTAAGCTATCCAAATGCCTGGTAAGTATATGAAAAGATGATGGTGTCATTAATAATCAGAGAAATGAAAAATGACATACCATGATGCATCTCTCTGAATGACTAAAATGAAAAAGTCAGATAATATAAAACATTATAAGAATGTGAAGCAAGAGGAGCTCTTAAATGCTGCTAATGTATAATCGTACAATCATTTGGGAACAAAAACAACAACACAAGAAAAACCAACAAACAAACTCAGTGTCATGGAGTCAATTCTGACTCATAGCGACTCTATAGGACAGAATAAGACTGCCCCATAGGCTTTCCAAGGCTGTAAGTCTTTACAGAAACAAATTGCCTCATCTTTGTTCATTGTAGAGTAGCTGCTGGGTTCAAGCCATTGACCATTTGGTTAGCAGACCAGTGCTTTAATCACTGTGCCACCGTTATTCACTAGTTTGAAGATGCACATAATAATGACCCCCAATCCTATCACTAGGTATATTCCCAACTGAAATGCATGTCCATGTTTCTCAAAAGACATATAGAAGAATGCTTATAGAAGGGCTATTCATACTAGTTCAAACCCAAAGCCCATCAACAATAAACCCCATTGCTTTTGAGTCTTTTCTGACTAATAGCACCCTATAGGACAGATTAGACATGCCCCATAGGGTTTCCAAGGCTGTCATGGAAGCAGACCGATGCATCTTTCTCCCACAGAGAAGGGCTGGTGGGTTCAAATTACTGACCTTTTGGTTGGCAGCTGAGTGCTTAACAACTGTGCCATCAGGGCTCCTTCCATCAATAATAGAATGGATAAATAAATTGTGTGTCATGCAGTCATACAGTATAATATAATACCAATGAAATGAAGAACTACAAAGCCATGAACATCCATAAACCTAATTTTGTTAAATCAAAGAAGCCAGATACAAGAGTATCTGTAGATTCCATACATATGTAGTTCCAGGTTCCATACATACATAGTTCAGAAACAAGCATGACAAACTATGTTGCTATTGTAAGTTTCTGTGAAGTCAGTTCTGACTCATGAGGACCCCATGTATATGGAGTATAAATGTACTTCATAGGGTTTTCAAGGCTGTGACTTTTTACTTTATTTATTTATTTTTAACTTTTGTGATTTGGGTGAGATTTCACAAAGCAGATTAATTTTACATTCAACAGTTCATACACCTTTTGCTTTGTGACACTGATTATATTTCCCAAAGTGTAACATTTCACCTTCACTTCCTCCCTGTGCACATCCTTTCTCTGTGTCCTTCTTGACTATGCATTCCTGCCTCCCTATGTTTCTACCTGTGCAGATGCTGCTGTTCTGATCTCCTGTGGTTGATTGTTCTAAGGAATTTTTCTGCTTTCTTTGGATGGAAAATTGGGCTATTGATTTGCAGTCTTTATCTTTTTTTTTTTTTTTAAATATAAGAACCTATAGGTATAAATTTTTCTTTAAGAATTGCTTTTAAGGGACTTCCAGTAAGATGGTGGAATAGGTAGACAAGCGACATAGACCCTCTTCAACAAAGAAAGGAAAACACAATTGACAGATATACAGAAGATAATCCTGGAACCCTGAGCTTTGAAAGGAACTATACAGAAGTGGATTAGGCACCAACTAGTGGAAAAACCTGAACGAAAAGAGTGAGTAAAGAGACTGTCAGAGCTGTGAACTGTCAGCTACTCTGACAGGACCAACAGCCTGAATATTTCCAAGTGGGGTTGGGACCTGAGAATTGACCTAAAGATCAACCCTGGTCACCAACGGCTGCGGGGATGACTGTGCTGGTGGCCTATGACTAGGAAGGGAAACAGCATGGAGGGAGATTACCTGAGCTGTGGACTTTCTGATGTCCAGAGGGCACAGTCATTTTGATTGTTTACACGTGGCAGCTATTTTGGATCTTTAAAGTGACCAAGGGTGCAGCCATTTTGAATGTTTAAAAGTGGCAGCCATTTTGGATCTTTAATGTGACTGAAGGTGCAGCTATTTTTAAAGTTTACAAGCAGCAGCCATTTTAGATATTTAAAGTGACCAAGGGCACAGCCATTTTGAATGTCTACAAGTGGCAACCATTTTGGATTTTAAAGTGATAGCATTCTTATTCGGATTCCAGGGACCTAAGAATAGGCTCTGTTTGCCAAGATCGGCTGGGACATACAAGAAGCTGACAACAGGAAAGGAGACAGGTGGTGGGTGTATAAGTGCTGTCAACTAGTGAATAGAGGAGCCAGTACCCTGCTTGCGTAGATAACATACAAAGAAAACTAAAATCATGGGCAAGTCACTCCAACATACAATCACCAATTAAATATAAACACAAAAACGTCACAATGCCTCAGAGACAACAGAGCATCCCAGTCTATACAAAAAAGTAAGATAAAGTAGAAGAAACAAGAAACCAGGATACAAACCCAAAACACATCCCTGAGGAAGATGCAGCCGTGGAACTCCCTTATAAGGAATTCAAACGAATTATATTTAGTTACATTCAGTGAATTGAGAGACAGATCAAGGAAAACACAGAGAAAACCCTAGAACAATTTTGAAAGACAATACAAGAACAAAATGACAAAATAAAGGAAAAATTAGAAATGATACAAAATCTACACACAGAAATCCAGAAAATTAATACTAAATTTTCAGAAATAGATAAGACACT